GCAAACATATGAAGAGACTGTCACATACATATATATATATATACACACACACACAAAGAAACATATTCAAAACTGTTCACCACTTCATTGTCTGTAAAAATTACAAATTACTTATCCATGGTTAGAATAACTAGAGGTATATTGATGCAAACAAATACTACTAAACAATGAAAAATGAACAAACTAGAGTTACATACATAAAAATGAATTTCATAGTTAAAAGAAAAATTTTATTCAATTAATATAAAGAATACTACATATATAGCTTAGAAATATATCTAATAAGGAAATGCATGGGGTGGTATATCACAAATTTAGCATTATTACTACTTCTATAGGGGAAGGGAGGGTTGTAATCAGAAAGAAAAATTCTGCCTTGTAAAGATTTTTTTAAAGCTGGGAAGTGGGTAGACTGGCATTTGTTGCTTAACAATAGTGATATGTCCCGAGAAGTACATCAGTAGGTAATTCCACCCTTATGGCAACATCATAGAGCATATTTACACAAACTAGATGGCATACCCTACTACACATTTAGGCTGCATGGTATAATAGCTTATTGCTCGTAGGATGCAAACTGTAAAGCATGTTACTGTACTGAATATTACAGGCAATTGTACCACAGCAGTAAGTATTTGTGTATCTAAACATATTTAAACATAGAAAGGGTAGAGTAAAAATACAGTATTATAATTTTATGGGACATGGGACCAGTGTCATTTATGCAGCCCATCGTTAACCAAAACAACATTATGTGGCACATGACTGTATTTCTTTATGCATTTTTATGTCTTAATATATGATAATATATTTATATATATTAAAGATTTTAATTTCTTTAGAATAACTAAGTGGTCTTAGATGTGATTTAAAATCAAATGCCCAAAGAGAGGATTAAGTAAAGAATTCATATAGTTAAAATATAGTCAAGCCCAATCCAACAGATGAAAAACGTAAGCATTTATTATGTGTTAGCAAAAAAATGCAGAAAATTATCTTTTTAAAGCAGTGCTCCATCTTTTATAGTAGAACACTACCTTTCAGTTCTACCTAAAGCATTTCTCTCAACTCTGTTTCTTCTATATATGTACAGAAAACACCATTAATAATCTAACATTATCTGCTTTCATGTTTAGCAAGGATAAGTACTAAATTATATGTTTTCATACATGAATTACAGTATCAAAAGTATACACATTTTGAACTATTTTTTTAAAAAAGCATCACAATCCCTTTAAATATAAACATGGCAACTTATTAGGGTGCCATTTATAAAATTCTTATCAGAACCTGAACAATTCATTGTGGCAAGAAGTTTACTCAGCACTTAAGGAAAGCATAAGTACATTTCAGGAAGTCTTCCCTAAGCATTTCAATACATAGTGATTTTCCTTTCTCTTAACTCTTATTGGACTACTCATCACCTGAACCAATCACCATTTGCTTTTGTCTTTTCTCTCCCATAGTGTTAGAGGAGGAGACTAAGAGATAGGGCTGAGACCAGATGCAGGGACTTGCAGATTGGCTACATTTAGGCAGGTGTTAAAGTAAACAACTCTCAAGTAGAAGCTAACTAAAGGGGCTTCAGGTGGCTTGTCAGCTAGTTCTCTGCCACCTTACATGAACTTTGGCTAATTACAGTATCATTTACATTGTAGTTTTAAAATTTCTCTGCTCTTGAAATCATCATGACAGTTCCGAAACAACCGTACAAAGTATAAAATGGGAGGGAACACAATTCTAGGAATTATTACCCAAATTTTTACTAAAAGCCAACCTTAGTCTTGAATATTTCTCCTCTCCATCAGTAAGACTTCAAAGACCAAAACCACATCCTCTCTCCCGGGCAGTTGCTCTTTTTGAGCTACCTGACTTGCTCTTGAGAGAGCATACCTTCGATTTTATAAAAGCAGCTGCTTACTTTAGCTTACCTAGTATACCTTAAAATTTCTCTCCCAACTCACAACAATAACTTGGAAAAACTTCCACTCAGAGTTGCTAACAATAGGATTAATTCCTGAGGGGTGAGGAGTGATGCCATCTTCCCCTTCTTTCTCCTCTGTTGACACTGACAAGAGGGTCTAAGTAAGCAGATAAGTTTTCAGTTGAATTAGGAAGCAGAGAGACCAAGCCCAGACTTCAGAAAAGAGAGACAGAAGGCTGAATCTAGCTCTGCCCTTTGCCAGCTGAATAACTCAGAGAAGTCTCTGCATCTCATTTCAGGCACATGGTAAAAACTTAATTGTTAGTTAATATTATCACTACTGTATTAATCTACCATTACAGCTATGCTATGACACTGCTATTTATTTAGGAGGAAGAAATGAGTCTTTTAACCATTACATTAATCAATATCTTCCTTGACACCCAATCAGTTAAGCTTGAATCCAAAATGCAGCTCTTGCGTAACTAAAAAACAATTAGTCATTTCTGTGTCCAATGTTCACTCCCCTAGCAATGATAACTGTTTACTTAACAAAAACATCTATCATGATTGCTGTTATTAATCAAAGTTTACACTGACCTTGTATACCAATATTCCTGTTGAAATAATTTTTTTCATTCCAATATATTTTGTAAATCATAAATACCTTTCATATATCCATTACAAATACAGATTCTTCTAAAACATATATCCCTCACCACTTTCCATTTAAAACAGAATGTAAATGAACTATTCATTCATCCATCCTTACTCTACATCGCCAAGTATATTTGCAATGCTTTGGTATTTGGCAACGATAGAATTTATAGCATTCTGCTGAAAGCCCCTTGTGATTAAAATACATTTTAGAGCAAATTAAAATAAGTTTAAGTAAACATCTGTGAAATTTTTCAGACACTCTGCTCAAACATGATTCTGCGGATTTAAATTCAGAACAATTTGATATAGCATCAACTGCTGCAACATTATTTGATCAGGGTTGATGTGCAAACATTCACAAACAAAAAAAACACGTGTCAAAAATTCATAGGTCTAAAGTCAACTCTCTTTGGTAAGGGAATTGTATCTTTTTCTTTTCCTATATCCAAGACACTTTTCCACTGTGAGAAAATTCTTCCCTCTTCCGACTGCCAGTAGACAGATCAACCTATTACAATCAGATGTTCTGCTGATTTCTGTTGTTTTCTTCCATTAAGACTAGGCAACCAGCTAGCTTGATATGCATGCTAATAAACCACAAAAGACAGCAATCAGTCTAGACATTCTATACGTCCTACCACTGAGTAATCTTAACCACACACTCCTTTAAGTAGATGAATGAAGCTTTCCTGAGAACTCTTTTCTAGGCAGGTAACATGTTTCCTAGACTCTGCTCATCCTGGGAGGCAAGTTGAGATCCTGGACCCTGCTGGCCCTACATAATTTCCTATTTGTAGCCCTGAACTCGTGAATTTCTGCCTCCCTTACTATGTTCATTCCCTTCATCTACCAGCTCCAAAAACCGTATTAACATGGAAACGTCAACTACCATAGGCTGTGACCATTTGGAACAAAGGTTTTATATCTGTGATATATACTGTGAATCAGAAATAATAAACCAAGATGGTTACGGGCTAAAATGAGTTCATAAATAGGAAATGCAATGATTTGTTACTTTAAATAAAACTGGACGCATTTACCCCAAAAACACTGTGACCTTGGGTCATTAGAAAATGAAATCAGTGATAAATACCATTCTATCTTCCGTTTAAGTATACACCTTCAAAGTTTTAGAATTATGGATATTTTACTCGGCAACGGAGTCAGCCTATAGATACACTATCTTTATGCAGAACCAATTCTTGGAGTAGAAA